TTGTCAATATTTTTCTCCACAGGTGTACCACAAGGATCTGTATTAGGTCCGTTGCTTTTTCTTATTTTTATAAATGATCTCACAAAGTCTTTGAAATTTTCAACTGCTTATCATTTTGCTGATGACACAAACTTACTCCTTACGAACAAATCATTTAAGAAATCAACAAACATATAAATTATATATGGATAAATTATGATTTATCCAATTGCTGAACCATGATTATCTTCAATCGCTGCAATCTAACAACTTAAGTCTTAATATGAGCAAAATTGAGCTTATCATTTTCAAATCAACTCAATCTAAAATTACTAAACACCTAAACTTCAGACTAAGTGGCCAAAAAATCTTTTCTGTAAATTTTTAAAAATATTTTGGAATCAAAATTGACTCAAATCTATCCTTTTCCTCTCACCTTAAAGACTCAGCAGTGAAACAATCTAGATCAAATGGGATGCTATCCAAAGTGAGACATTATGTCAATCATGAAACTCTGCTCAACATATACCATGCTATTTTTGGATCGCATTTACGATATGCTTTTCAGGTTTGGGAACAAAGCCGACAAAAGCTTTTTTCAGAATATCTAATCTGCAAAACAAGGCTATAAAATTAACATACTTTCAACAATATTGTTTTAATTCTAATATCCTATACTTTCTATCCCAAATTCTGAAATTGTGTGATCTTGTTGAATGATTAAAATGTTTTTATGTCTGAAATAGCAAGCAAGTAAATCTCCCTCTCTCATTTTGTAATTTCTTTACCACTATAAAATGTTCTCGTTATTATCTTCGATCTTGTAATAACCTTAAATTATCTATCCCAAATCATTCTTCCGTTAAGTACGGTCATAAATCAATCTCAAACCAATGCGTATAATCTTGGAATAAATTACCTCTTTACCTTAAATAACTAAACTCTATTACACAATTAACAACAATTAAAATGTTGCAATTATTGTGGGTCATTATTATTATTATAGCTTTTGGTATTGTTATATGTGATATAAATATTACTATAACACTATGTATGTATATGCACATGTATATGTGTGTGTACATATATATATATATATATATATATATATATATATATATATATATATATATATATATATATATATACATATATATATATATATATATATATATATATATATATATATATATATATATATATATATATATATGTATGTGTCTATATGTTTGTATATGTACGTGTCTATTTGTATGTATATGTATGTGAGTGCGTGTATATGTACGTAAATGTATGTATGAAAATAAGTGTGTATTTATGTATGTGTTAAGTGTATATATGTGTGTATACGTATGTATGTATATGCGCATATGTGTCTATGTGTATAAATGTATATGTGCATATGTATACATGTCTATGTGTAAGTGTGTGTATGTGTGTATTTATATATATATGTATATATATATATATATATATATATATACATATATATATATATATACATATATATATATATATATATATATATATATATATATATATATATATATATATATATATATATATATATATATATATATATATATATATATATATTTATATATATATATATATATATATTCAAATATACATATATATATATATATATATATATATATATATATATATATATATATATATATATATATATATATATATATATATATATATACATATTCTTACAAAAGCGCTATAAAACGTGTATTGTTTAAAATGCTGTTTTAAGTCGAAACAGATTTAAACATTAAATATAATTGTGATTTTTATTTAAAGCATATTTTTGGTATTATTTTAATGTTTAAAGAATGCTTATGCAAAAAAACGATTAAATAAAAAAGTTTTCAAAATTTATATGCGCTTTAATTCAAAAAATATAAATATAATTTATGTCGAAGTGATAACTTTGCGTGCTTAAGACAAACTTTTACAGCAAGACGCTATTAATTTACTAAGACGTCTTAATTTTCTTATGAAGTCGTTACAAAGACAATTTAATAGTTAATTAAAACCCGTATATATAAAATAATAAAATACTTTTGCTTTGAAATAACTTTGAGCCACTTAATAAAATAATTGTTGTTTTGTTTTGAAAATGTTTGATTTTATTGGTTGATAAACAAAGCGATTACTACAAATACTTTTAAAAATACAGTAGGTCAACGATTTAGTAGGTTGGAAAACTAGTTGTTCATGTTTTAATTAGATGTAAATACATATAAGAATGAATAAACACGCATATAAAAATGAATAAATGCGCATATAAAAATGAATCAATGCGCATATAAGAATGAATAAAGGCGCATATAAGAATGAATAAAAGCGCATATAAAAATGAATAAACACGCGTATAAAAATGAATAGACGCGCATATAAGAATGAATAACCCTGTAAAATTAACTTTTTAGAGTACCATTTGAAATTAGAAACGTTTGCTCTGAGAAAAAAGTAAATAAAAGTAAAAGGTATAGAAAAAAATAAACATATAAATATAGTAAACTTTAAACTTAAGAACGTATTTCCAGCTTATAACTACAAAAACTTACATCGAACAAAAAAACAAAAATTAAAAACAACCTAATGAAACAGAAGAGTTTATTACGCAACACGCAAGCAACAAGAGCAGACGAGTAAACGTTTAATCAAGGACGTATTAATAGATGGACATTTAACTTATTGTTTAAAAGCCAAGTACTTTAGAGTTTTTTGGTGTTACTTTTCATAACACCAAAATACTCTCAAAAGTTTATAAATACATAAAACCTTTTCATTTTATGATCAATAAACTCAAGCGAAATCTTTACATGGAAAATAAAAGTTAATCACAGAAAAATATCAAAACAAAATTATAAGTGAAATAAATTTTCCGACAAAAAGGAGAAATCTAAGTACTTAAAATAACAGTGAAAACTAAGTGTAGGGAATAGAGACCACAAGTAATCTATAGTTCGATCTATATATGATCTACAGTTTTACCTACAACATCTAGAAAAATCGTTTCACTTTGCAGTTTTCATTCTTGCTAACTACATATCACCTTTTTACAAAAATATGATTTTTGACGTATTATTATTAATAAGTTATTAAAATGCGCTCAAGTATCAAGTTTGACGTTTTAAAACAGATGAGCTATTTCTGATTAACTAAAATGCATTAATTTTAAAAAAAAGTTAGAGTTTTGTAGGTAGTTGCACTTTTTAAAAAAAGTAGTTAGAAAAGCGAAAAAATTGGAAAAACGTCTAAAAAAACTTTACTTTTTTTCTAATTACCAGTCATCTCACATATGCTAATATTGTGTGTGCTAATAGACACAAAACAAAATTAATCAAACTACAAGGCCTACGAAACCTAGTTGTAAAGCAATTCATTATCTAGGTAGAATGTACAATCCTACTAATGCAATGACAAATATGAAAATCTTAAACTTAAAAAAAATTATTTTATACCAGATTCTAATCTTTATGTTCAAATGTAAAAATAATATGCTACCAGACTATTTTTTAGACATATTTTCGCCATCATTTTCTCAAAGTTATAATCTGCAACCAAATAGTTTCTTTAACTGTTACATTAAAAAACTAAAACCCACAGGGTACCAAAATATGAAAAAACATGAAAAATCAAAAATTAAAAGACTTAAATGGAATATCGTTGTTTAAACGGCAAGCAAAGCTGCATATTTTAAGTTTGTAAAAATGATTGCAGTCACAGGCGATTTTACAAATAAAATGAGGGAGGGGGGGAGGGATGGTGAATTCTAAAAATGTACCGACTTGATGCAAAAAAAAAAAAAAAGAAAAAAAAAAAAAAAAAGAAAAAAAAAAAAGGTCCTCAAAACAAGAATTTCACCGACTACCCGACTGAATTCGTAAAAAAACCGACTGAAACTTGAAAACCACCATTATAATTCGCCCCACACAATCCCCCTCCCCGTAAAATCGCCCCTGATTGCAATATATTTAAAAAATTAAAAATATATATATATTTTCAATACATGCAAGTTGAGGTATATATATATTTGTAATATATTTGATTTTTTAGCTTTCTCATTCATCACTTAAAGAATGTTATGAAAGCGCTGTAAGGCGCAAAAAGTTATGAAAAGTGTCAAAAAAATTCAAAAACAACTTAGCTAAAAGTTATTTTAAAAAGAAAATAAAGGAAAACAAATTCCGGATTTTTTCCGGATATTTCATTATTTTTAAAATATGATTAGGATGATCTATGTATACAGTTATAAGTGCAGTCTATTATTCTGATAATATGAATACGCTAATTTAATATTAGTCGAGTTTCGTCATTTTTACGTCATTAATATTATTAGTCGAGTTACGTCATTTTCTAGGCTTTTCTATTTTAAAGTAGTTTCTAGGCTTTTCTTTACGCGGTTTTTTTTTTTAATTTTATTTACTAACAACGCGTATTACGGGTTGCTTCCTACTAGTTATATAGTAATAAATGATAAAAACCTATTAGTAATATAACATATTAGGTTTATAGGTGCGTTCTGAAGTATTTATACTTTTAAGATGAATAAATATAAAACTTTAATTAAAACTATTAGCATAATAAAAGAGCCTCTCTAATATACCGTGCTGTGTTATAGATTTATAGATATACTTATAGATTTACTTTATAAGATATAAATATAGATATACTTATAGATTTTCAAAAATAAAGTTTAAAATTTATAAGAAAAGGAAAAACTTGGCCTATTTCCCCCTCTCTTCCTATGAACCCATCTCGTTTTAAATTAAATATAATAATTTTTTCAATTTCAATTTTTGATAGGAAATACTCAGAAACCTGAGTGACAACAGATAGGAGAGAAGGCCTTGAAACCATTAAGTTTTTATTTATAGAGATATTTTTGATTTATTGCTAAGTGTTTATGAAAACCCAGAGATTGCAACTTTAATTGGAGACAAATATAAAACTTACTAAAATTGATAACCTTATTGCTATGAAGAAAATAATAGATCATATCATAACTATAGATCAAAGATATATCAAATATAATACAAAGGTTATATTATTGAAATATACAGAAATATGTTCTAAAAAAAGTCCTGTTTGACGAATCTATTTTTGTCATGTTACAAATAATTGAACGGGCTCTACTCTATCATGTTTAAATCTTTCAAACGACGATTTTTATTGTTCAGAATTTTAGTTCTTTCGTTCGTTAATTTTGTTCTTGCAGTTTTATATTGAACGTCTATCATTTTCTCCTCCAAAAACTGAAAAATTTCTTTTTTGCCTAACAAAAAAAATTGCAAAATTTATATTTAATATAAGTTTATATGTGCAAATTAACATTAAAACTACTTAATTAAAAAAAATTTACCAGGCATTTTGTTTTCATTAATATAAATTTGAAAGTGTTGTATTAGTTGTGTCTCCTCATTCAAAACCCATTTATGATATTTTCTTTCTGAAATTTGTTTTGCAGTCAAAATAAATCAGCTATAACATATGTCAGTTAAAAAATTTACACATAAATGTTTTGTTTAACAATGTAATACATTAAAAACTTAACAAAAGTATTTTCATTTTATGCATTTATTATTAACAACTATTACTATAAATACTAATAACAACCTGTCTATTTACTGTTAATTAATAGTTTCACCCTGTTACATAAGTTATTCTAAAATATACCTGGCACAATTTCAGGTTGGTAAATTTTTCCTTCTTTCTTGTTTGTACCTCTGCTTCTTGTTTGTACGTCTTAGAAATGTTTAAAAAAAGAAATTTATTAAATCATGTTTATTGATATGATTATATATATTTTTAAAAGAGATATGTTTTTAAGGAAAGATATTACAGATTATTATATGTAGTATTATAAATATATTATTTAATTATGTTTTAAGAATATTTATAAACATTCTAGCATAAAAGTTTAATTAACATTTCAAGTTTGTTATTTTTTGAATTTAGTTAATTTTAATGTTTATTGGACCGTTTTATGAAACAATGTGCACGCTGTGAGACACAAAGAACACTGAGATACCGCCGCATTTTTATGTCGTGACACTCAAATAAAACTTGTTTTACTTAGGTTTGTTTGGAAACGATAGAAAAAATACTTTTACAATCCAAAAAAAATTTCAAAGAGTCACAAATGGAGCAAAAGGGTTAATAGAAGGGCCAAATTCAAACTTGCTGGATATTAAAATAAATAGGCTAAGGCTGAAATAAACACTCTTTTATTTATGATACTTCACTCATTTATTTAAAAATAGAAAAGAGCAATCTTAAAACTAAATATAAATGCTTAGGGTCACGAATGGGGCAAAGTTGATGTAAAATTGACGGACCCTAAATGAGTTTTAATAAACAAGATTTTTTTAATCAGCTAAATTTTTAACTGTACACCACTCCCCACCCCCACGTGACACCTAATGCAATGTTAAAGCTTAGAAAACTACAATAAAAAATGCAAATATTTAATTGAAAAAAAAATTAAAGTAACATATGCTTAACTACCATATCTAGTATCTGGTGATTGTTGAGCATCAATTTGACTTACCAAACACTCCGAAGGAGTAAATGTACTGGAATTTGCACCTTGATTAAATAAAAAGAGTTCAACATTTTTGCATTTAACTGTATCTAAGAAATTTTATCTGTATAAATAAAAAATATATATTACGCACAAATAACTATTCTATTAAAAAAATTAAGGTGACGAATGCCAAACTACCATATCTAATATCTGTAGAGTTTTTACCTTTATTTTGACTTGCAAAACACACCAAAGGAGTAAATGTTCTTGAACTTACACCCTCATTAGATAAAAAATAGTTTAACATTTTCTAATAAGAGTGTATTGATGGAAATTTTATTTGCATAAATTAAAAAAATAAATTAAACCAAAACATTCAAATTCTTAAAAAAACATAAGTATATCAGCATAACTACCACATCTTGTATCTGTAGATTTTTGACGTTCATTTTGACTTGCAAAACTCTCCGATGGAATAAATGTATTAGAACTTGCACCTTCATTAGATAAAAAATACTTTTACATTTTTGCATATAAGTTTATTGATAAAAATGTTTTTTTTTTTGTATAAATCTAATAAACAAATTAAAACCCAAATATAAATTTTGATAAAATAAAATTTGTTAGCAACTGCATAAATACCATGTCCTATATTTAAAAATTTTTGACTTTTGTTTTGCTTTGCCAAACTCTCTGATAAAATAAATTTACTGGAACTTGCACCTTCATTAGATGAAAAGAGTTTTACATTTTTGCATGTAACTTTTATTTGTATAAATCATAAAACATATTAAAATCCAAATATTTAGTCTGTTAAAAAAAAAAAAAAGATAACCAAAGCGTAACTACCATATCTAATATCTGTAGATTTTTGACGTTTATTTTGACTTGCAAAACACTCCGAAGGAGTAAATGTGCTGGAACTTGCACCTTTATTTGATAAAAAGAGTTCAACATTTTCGCATATAAGTTTATAGATAAAAGGTTTTTATGTATAAGTCATATAAAAAAACTAAAACCTAATCATTAGTTTTGTTAAAATAAAATTTATTTATAACTTCATAAATACCATATCTTTTCCCTGCAGATTTTTTGAACTTTATTTTGCTTTGCGAAACTCTCCGATGGAATAAATGTACTGAAACTTGCACCTTATTTGAATGATAAGAGTTTAAAATTTTCGCATATAAGTTTATAAACCAAGTTTTTATTATTATAAATCATAGAAATATAATAAAACCCAAATACTTAAACTGTTAAAAAAAAGTAACAAATGCGTCACTACCATATCTAATATCTGTAGAATTTTGACCTTTATTTTGACTTTCAAAACAATCCAAAGGAGTAAATGTATTGAAAATTGCACCTTTATATAGTTTAACATTTTCTAATTAAACTTTGTCTATGGAAATTTTATTTGTATAAACTAAAACACAACACAACACTCCGAAGGATAAATGTACCTAAACTTGCATCTTTATAAGATTAAAATAGTTTAACATTTTCTAATATTAGTTTATCAATGGAGATTTTATTTTTATAAACTATAGAACTAAATTAAACCATAATATTCAAAAGTTTAAAAATATGTAAATTTAACTAGATTATTACCATAACTTGTATCTGTTGACTTTTGACGTTCATTTTGACTCGTGAAACTCTCCGATGGAATAAATGTACTAGAACTTGCACCCTCTTTAGATAAAAATACTTTTACATTTTCGCATATAAGTTTATTGATAAAAGGTATATTGTATAAATCATATATATAACTTAAAATCCAAATATTTCTTTTGCTAAAAAAAAATTTAGGGAACAACTTTATAAATACCATATACTGTATGTGCAGATTTTTGACTTGCATTTGGATATGCAAAACTCTCTGATGGATTAAATGTACTAGAAGTTGCACCTTGATGAAAATAGTTTTAAATTTCTCATACAAGTTGATCAATAAAAGTTTTGTTTTTATAAATTATAGAAACAATTTAAAAGCTAAATATATTATTTGTAAGAAAAAAAAAATTACAAATGCTAGTTACCATATCTTTTATCAGTAGATTTTCTTGGATTTTGACTTGCACAACTCTCCAAATCGTAAATAAACTAGAACTTCCGCCTTTATTAGATAAAAATAGTTTCACATTTTTCTCAAATAAGTTTATCAAAATTAAATTTTATATGAATAAATCATAGAAATAAGTTAAAGCGCAAATATTTCAATTGTTAAAACAAAGTATGTAACATCTTCGTAACTACCATTTCTTGTATTTGTAGATTTTTGACTTGCAAAACTCTTCGAATGAGTAAATGTAATAGAACTTGCATCTTTTTCAGATGAAAATAGTTTTGGGAATCAATGTGATTTAAATTTGTTTAAATCATAGATATTAATTAAGAAGGCAATATTTAAGTTGTTAAAAAAAGTAAGTTAAACTGCATATTTACCATACCTGTAGATTTTTGACACTCATTTTGACTCTCTGATGGAATAAATGTACTTGCACTTGTACCTTCATTAGATAAAAATACATTACATTTCGCATAGTTTTTTGATAAAAGGTTTTTCGATCAAAGGTTTTTTTATAGTCAAAAAAATATTTTGTTAAATACGTTGTAAAATATACTAGATAAATTGAATAAAATATTTTATTTCACAACATTATATATATTTTTTTCATGGTTTATAAAATAACAATGATAATTTGATAATCTTAGTTTTTTAACTGAAAATTAGTCCAAAAAAATACCTAATTTTATATTCATAAGTCTTCTTCCAGCTTTCACAATATCCAACATGCCTAGCGGTATTTGATATACACTTTTATTGGTTTCCTCTGAGTGATCTATATGTTTAAACCATAGATCCCTATCTTGTGTTGACAAATCAAGTCTTGCGAAAATAGAACTTAATCAATGTCTATTTTTTGTAGCGTTGAAATTCTCTGGTTTTTTTTGGGGCAATGTTTTTACTATACTATCAATTGCATTCCATCCAGAAGTATGACCATTAGAATTTCTGGTACACGCAAAAAGATAAGGATTGTTTTTAGGAATGTTGACTTTATTTCTTATATTTATATTAGAAATTATAGATAATGCCCTCAGAGTGCCGCCAGAATAATAACTGGAACTCTATGAGTTCCTTTACCTGCCATATATGCTATTTTAACCAACTTTATTAAGTCTTTATCTTTTTCATCAAACTCATGGAGACAATGTATATCTATGTATTCGTCCCCAACCGCTTCATTGTACTAACTTAATAATAATCTTGCTGGTTCGCCGCCTTAAAAATAAATTTAATGTATAAAAATTAAATTTTAGCAATTCAAATAATACACAAAGTTATTGGTTTGTATGTAACAAAAATCAAACATTAAATAAAAATGGTACTAACTTATTAAATTAAAACAACAAGATTGCTATCCCAGCAAACATTTGGTCTAAAGAAGACATTCAAACATCTAATGGCTTTAATAGACGTATTAAAAATGTCTGTTTTAGACCAGGTGTTTTCTGTGAGAGATCATGATATTTTATTTAATACGCTGGGTAATTTTTCATAATATAATTATAACAATATAAATTTATAATATTCAGTACCTCGCCTAGCATTTAAAAATGTTAGTCTAGCACATGCAAGATCTCTTAATTCCACAAAATTTTCAATATTAAACGACTCCATCCACAGTGGATTAGCAGTAAAAAACTCCATTTTTGATAAGATATAATTTTTAAATATTTCACAGTCTTCTTCCAAGGAAAGCGATGAAGGTTTTTGTAATTTGCTATGCTTTGTTTGTATTAATTTATTAGAGGCATCTTTAAACATACTTTTTTTCCACATTTTAAATAGGGAGTAAAAATAATCAAGTTGCTTAGCAGCATCAGCGTTTTGCTCTTTAATATATATTCCTTTAAGAATTTTTACACAGTTGATTATTAAATAGCACAAACTTTGTTTCAATCCAGCTTTTAAATCATCTTTATCTTTTGTAGTATAGGAACAAATGGCTGCTCGAAAAGCTCTATTATTTGAACATTCGAACATGTCTGCTGAACTGTTATTAATTTTTTCGACACCTGCCTGCTGACAAAAAACCTCATATAAAGAACTCAATTGCCTCATCGAATTTCGGACATGGTTTTTTGATACAACAAATTTATCCTTGTTATACTTTTCCTTTTCGTAAAGCATAGAGCCAATTTTTAGAATTGTTTTATCGTGTAGAGCAATATTAGAAATTCTATCATTTCTTAAATGAGACAGAATGTTGTTTGTAAACTCTTCGTTTACCATTGTCAAACTAGGTATTCCAAGAAGACTGACCGGTATTGGAATTGTTTATTCAAAACTATCTGTGCTCCTTTGGCAATTTTTTTTATGATTGTGCCAAAATTTCTTTGAACAAGCTACAATAATTTAACCCTTTGTTTTTCAAAGAAGATCTTTTCCTTTAATATACTGGATTTTTTTTGCAGCTTCTGCTTTGTTGTATTGAAAAATTTCTCTCCTTTTAAAATCTTGTAAACCGTTCAACCTAGCCTTCGTTGTATTTAAAATTAAAACTTCTGGATAGTTTTTATGCACAGTGATTATATGTTTTGACAGATATGACTTAAATTTTAAACAAAAAATACAGTAACGGTGAATTCTTTTTTTTCAAAAAAAGAATTCACCGTTTCTAAAGTTTCAAAAAAATGCATTTATACTATTGATAAATTGCAAAGAAAAATTGCTTTTATACTATATGAATACGCATTTACAGATTTTGTAATAAAAATTAACAAAAAGAGGAAAAAAATTTATGTTTTGTTTAATCCAAATTTTGTAAGGACCACATTATTTAGAAAACATATAGGGGAACAAAGTAAAATGTAGGGGAACAAAGTAAAACTCCCTTAAGATTATTCAATAGAATTTTTGTTAGTTAAGTAATATAAGAAATTAAAATTTAAAATATTTAGAAAGTTTGAAAAGTTTTTACCTGCTTTATTGTACTCTTGCTTGCATGTTCAGGTTCATAATAATAACTCAATATACGCTAAAACATTAGTTTTGAAAATTTTGAGATGATAAACAGTTATTGCAAGCACATTTTATAATAATTATTATAATTATTTTTGTGTCTGCTTTAATCTTTTTTAATACAAAGCCTAGGTTGAACTTAAGCTAATAAGTCAAAAATGTTGAAAATAAAAATGTTATCCATTTGTCTAATTTAACCGAATAAGTCAAAAATGTTACCTCTTTTGGTTTTTTTATTTTTTTAAATACATTTTAAAGTGCTGCAAAATGCTTTAAAACACACAATTCACTCAAAAACCTCCTAATAAATTTTGTATGAAGTCATTGCTTTGACAGAGATGATTTTAATTTTAAACAATGTGTGTACTACTTAAAAGATATTGGCAAAAGTTTTTATTATTACACGAAAATTTTGTCAATATTATGATTTTATGTCAATATTATGATATTATGAATGTATAATTACTATTTGTCTTTTTTGAAAATTGTTTTGAATTCATTTTTTTAGTTTTTTCTGTAAGAAATTATAAACAATATAAAATAAATATATTTACAACAAATTTTTGTTTAAAAAAAAGTTTATACCTTCTTTTTCGTACTCTCGCATAAACATCCATGTTTACAATGTACCTATTATTATAACTTACTATAAGTGATACATAATATACGCTAAAATATAATTTTTGACTTTTTTGAGACAATCTTGTTAAAGTAATTATAGCAAGCTTATTTTGCATTTGCAAGCATAATTATTTGAATAATTTTTATGTCTGCAATCTTTTTTAATACAAAATTTAAATTGAACTTAAGCTAAGAAGTCAAAAATGTTTTTCTCTAATTCAACCGAATGCTAATTAAAAAGAAAAACTAAAAAATTAGGTATATGTGTAGGGGAGAGTGGTACTGAATGGACTACAAAATTCAACTTTTTTGTGAAAATAATTTTTTTCCATATTGTCAACAACTATGGCGGATATATTAATTCAGAGGTCAAAATTAATACCTTAACTAACAATCCTTAAAAGTTGTAAACCATTGCGCAAACAGAACATAGGCAAAATGTGCGATAAATGTGACCCGTACCAAATTATTTAGTGGTCCATTCAGTACTGTTCATAGTACTGAATGGGCCAACCCTTGTACTGAATGGACCACAATTTTTTTTTTTTTTTTATAAAAAAGATCAATATCTCTATCGCTAATAACTATAGCCGATGTATTAATTTGGGAGACAAGATTAATATCTTAACTAACTATCCTTGATTTTTGTATATTATAATAAAAGTTGTAAACAATTGCGCATAACAAGTTACATTATGCAAAGCAATTAGGGTGATAAATGGAGTTTAAAATCAAGAAAGAAGTATGTTGAGACATTGATATTTCTGAACTAATTAATACAACTTTAGACCGAAGTCTCAATCAGATAATCAAATTACAATAATCACAAACATATTGGCTGGCATTATCTGCACTTGTGCAAGCTTTATGTGCCCAGCTCGCACACTGTCTGCAACGGTACCACACTTCGTTGTCACAACCTATTTCTTCACATATATTATATGTGAAGAAATAGGTTGTGACAACGATTTTCTCATCATTATTATATGTCATTAATGGAAACTTTAGAGATTTTAAGTTGCTTGATTTCTTTCTTGATTTCCTTTGACGTTTATTTTTAGCATCTTTTTGTTTTTCAGAAAAGTTTTTTTTTTTAAATTTTGCTGAAGTTGTTGATTTCGAAGAGCCTCTTTAATTGGAGTATCAGTTAGAACCAAAGAGGAGAGCTTTTTGCGAGCACCTTTGGTTTTTTCTAAACGAGCTTTTGCAGAAGGATAAGGACGTATACTTTCCACATTGAGGGTATTGCTAACATTTTTGTTGACTTTAACATTTCTATTTATTTCTACTGGATAGATGTTGAGTGCTTCAGGATTAGGTCTAATAATTTCTACTGAAACTGGATTGATATTGAGTGCTTCAGGATTAGGTCTAATAATTTCTAATGACACTGGATTGATATTGAGTGTTTCAGGATTGGGTTTATTTGTAACCTGAGATAAAAAAAAATCCTCATCCTTCCACTGATCAGGTTGAAAAGGACTTATTCCAGATACTGAAAAACTACTAATGATGTTAACTGGCCTTGATACTTTTGCTCAAGCCTTTCCAGAAATTTCTGCAATGTCATAGATTGAAACAGTTTTTCCTAGATGTTATACCAACCAGCTATCAATTTCACGATTATAATGACGTTTGAAAGGTCCATACACTGTTATATCTAATGGTTGCAGTTTGTGAGATGTATGGGGTGGGATTATCAAAATAATTACACCATTATCTGATGCTAAGTCAATGAAGTGAATTGACATAAGAGACTTGATTATCTAGTATCAACAGCAAAGGGTTTGTCTTAGATGGTCGAACACTTTTTATAAAATGATTAAACCACTCCATAAAAGTTGATTCCACCATCCACCCAGATTTGTTGGCAGTGCCAACAGAATCAGAAAATGAATTTCGCAGAAATAAATCTCTAAAATGAACACGTGGAAATATGTAGAATGGTGTTATTAAGGATCCACTTGCATTTACTGCATTGCACATTGTTACCAAGATACCTCGTTCTGCACTTGTAACAGAAGCAACTTGCCTCTCTCCTCTCTTGGCTAAAACATGCTCTGGCACTTGTACAGTAGTAACACCAGTTTCATCAACGTTCCATATATCATTTGGTGAAAACTTGTATTTAATCAAAAGAATTTGCAGATTATTATAAAATAGATTTACATTATGCTTGTTGAATGCTGACATTCGACCAATTGATGTTGCCTCTGGTTTTCTTATAACAAGTTCTGGATGACGACTTAAAAAAGCTCTAAACCAATCTACACCTGCATGTTTATTTGTTACTTCTTCTTAAGTTTGAGAGCATATTTAAATGTTAGTGCTCTTAGCTTAATAGGACTTAACCCATATCCCATTTTTGAAGAAACTAAACAATATTGAACCAGCTCTTGTTCTTCTGTTACTGAAAAAATTTTCATAGAACTGTTACTATATGGAACACATTGCAATTTATTCAATCCATTTTGAGAGTCGAGCTTCTTTAATTCGCCTCTTAAAAGTTAAACGTTTGACTCCAAATATCTCAACAGCTTTTCTTTCAGATAGAGTTTTATTTAAAACATTTTCAACTGCTTGGATCTTAATATTGGGATCCCAATCACCTTTTAGTGCTGTTGCTTTTCGATGTCTCATAATACTTCTGAAATAAATAAAATTTGTTTATAACCATATTATAAAAAAAAAATTATCGATGCTATTTTATATATATATATATATATATATATATATATATATATATATATATATATATATATATATATATATATATATATATATATATATATAGAGAGAGAGAGAGAGAGAGAGAGAGATTTATATTTATATATGTATATTTATATATATATATATATATATATATATATATATATATATATATATATATATATATATATATATATATATATATATATATATATATATATATATATATATATATATATATAAACGTATAAATATCTAGCATATAGCTTATTTAGCATATTATATGCCATATAACATATCTAGCATATAACTTTTATTATATATAATTTTATTATATATAATATATTTTATTATAACAAATGTTATATGCTAGATGTTATTAAAAGTAATATCACCTTATTTATATATCGTAATAATATTATGACATTTAGTTATTGAAATAATGAAACAAACTACAAACTACTAATTATTAACCTAATATGTAAGCTATTAGTCTGCTTACCTTAATATTATATTAAATAATGAATAATTGAACTTGAGCCCTTAAGTCTTTGTTAACTAGATATTTTGGTTTATTTCCTAACTCACACCTCCTTAGTTCATTTAGATGAAAAAACTTGAGTATTTTGTTTTAGTAAGTAACATACTGAAGCGCGATAAATAACTTCGCAGGAAAATGAACCAGTCCATTCAGTACAATCAATGGTGGTTCATCCAGTACACTTATCAAAATGTAAATGTTACCCATACAATCAAAGCAATCAGTAAATTATTTAACATTAATTTTAATGTTATACAAAGTATAAAATATGTATCTATGATATTAGTGTTAACCATAGTTAACTTTACCTTAAAAATCTAGTGTAAATTGAAACAAATTGGAAAGATAAAAATTTACTTTTTGCTTCAAAAAAAACAAAAAATACAAATATTAATGCGTCATTACGAATAACGTTAAACAAAAAATATCAAAGAAACTTTGAGTATACAAAAATTATATGCAATTAAAAAAAATCATTTTCCAGCTAGTTAATTTTTTATTTTTCTAATGGTCCATTCAGTACAAGGTCCATTCATTAAAACTCTCCCCTATATATATACATTTACAACTTCATACCTAGTTAAATCCTAAATTAAAAATTATATATGACATCATTTAATGAATACTTAAATATAATGGATATAATAATATAAAGCTACGTTATCTTTATCGATATAAATATTTATTAGCAGTTTTTTGTATTAGCGTAAAAGTAATAAAACATAAACTTTGCATTTGTGTAAAAGTAATAAACAAAGCATACATCGATGCTTTTTTTATTAAAAGCCTATAAAGAAAATCTATATGAAGAACACATTATTTTACGTTATGTAGCAAACAAAGGTAAAACAAGGCGAACTTACCTCAATATTTAAAACAATTGAGCTTTTGTCAATTAAGGAAGATGTGTTTAACAAAGATGTATTTGATGAAAATAAGTCTACATTATTTTGAGCAATATCAGAAGAACCAGCACAAGAGCGTTTCTAAATGTAAGAAATGACATCTTAATACTTTAATAAAAGGGGCTGTTCAAATAATGACAGTCTCCGTAAGCACTTTTCAACGTGTCGCAAAAACCACATGGAGAAGGGGGTGCTAAGCTACAGGGTGACGTGATAATTTTTTTTAAATTTAAATTCTAATCACAGCAAAATTGATGAAATTTTAACCAAAAATTTGCCAACTCTGAGGTAAATTAGGAGGTTGTTTGTTTAAAAATAATGTCACGTCTCATATAGGGGGGAAGAAAGGGGTTGACAAAAATGACACAAGATGTTGTCACATGTTGTCACGTGTTGTCAAAATGTTGTCACATGGGTGTCACGTGTTATTTGTACAGCCCCTAAAAATATTGATTAACTAAGTATAGTAGAGAAATTAAAAAGTGCACATTTTATACATCCCCGAATATTGTGAGCCAGTCGACGCGAACCAAAGCCAAAAAAAAAAGATTTGTGCAAAGTAAAAAGGGAAAATAAGTTGA